AGGAGGTTAGTAGAAACATGATATTATTTTGCCTGGACCCATCAACATCGCCTTCCGGTTGTGGACACGCCCATGTACGGGGGATTATCTCCCCTGACGATGAAAAGACCAGCGAAACAAAAGACAACTCTTGCCATTCACAGACACTCCTGGATCAAACTCTCTTGTGTACTGCATAAACTCTGAAGGGCCTAAGCCTGCTCCAAACCGCCCTTTTCCAGTAAGAGCATTCGCACACCGAGGGCCAAATCATGTCAAAAGCTACACAGGCCTTTCAATGGACAGATTCGGTCGGGCATACATCAAAGAACTGGATACCGTTTGTACAGGTTGTCTGCAAACCGCCAATACCATCACTTGTCGCAGTTGCAAGCGTTTTATTGGTGATGTTATAGAAGTGGGGGCTTGTGGTTGGTTGAAAACCTTCAGCTTTTTGTATTCTGTGGGGTATTAGGAGAATAGGAGGGGGATTAGCTTACAGTGCTCTCCTTTTACTAGCTGCTAAACTGGAAAAGCATTTTGCAAGGGAAACCTCTTTTTCTATTCCTCCATTTTTTGTTCATAGATATATTACCATAAGAAATGTTACTGCAAGTGCTTCACGTCCTCATCGTACCAATTTTGATTGATCATTTGGGAATCAAGTTAAGTGCAATACATTGTCAGAGCATACGAGCGGAGGTACTCCTTTATAAAAAAAATCTCCGCCCTACCCAGGAATCGAACTCATGTCTTCTGTAAGCAAAGTCAAAGTACCTAATGTCTTTGCATTTTATTTCTTTTTAAAATCTCCGTGAGACATAAGAAAACATGATATATCGCTCAATCTTTCATTATCGGGGTAATCTGGAAAAGAAGCCATAGGCGGAATAAACTCCTTAATATCCAACATGAGTTTAGGATAATTAAAGTGTAGTATTATTGTTATGTTCCAGACTTGTCGGCCTTTTGCTTGAGTACAAAGAGGGACAAGTACTTTGGAAGACGACGAGGCATACAGAAATCTGTGCCTCGATTATGTATAGTGGATGGTATGGATGGTACCCGTCCTCTTTTTAAAAAAATGTCATAGATAGAGCCTATTATTCCTAGATTTTGTTGAAAGGTAGACGCAGAGAAAATAAGCACACTCAGAAAATCGTCATCCATCTATCTATCTATCTATGTATCTATCTATCTGTCTATCTATCTATCTATCTATCTATCTATCTATCTATCTATCTATCTATCTATCTATT